AAATATACATATCACATTGGTCCATAAATAGTTCTCAGAAGTTACCATTCATAATACTCTTCGGGATATGACATTTACTTACTTAGGCCTATTACCTCACGTAGAGGAGCTTAGACCGTTCATAAACGTTCTCTATCCAACTCTGTCCCGAACAATACTTTCTAGTTATTTCCACTTGCTATTCATCCTTTTATTATATGTTTCCAATTGTCAATGTATTGTGTTCTTTGACCTTACTTTTTTCCATTTACCTTCAGGATTCCAAGTTAGCGGAGACCATAACCAACTAGTCTACATCTACCAACATGGCTCAGACCTGAAGTTAGTGACTTCAAGGACTGATGCCACGTTTCGGTTTGGCATGCCCTAACTTTCTTCCAACAGTCTCTAACGCTAGTCAGCATTTCGCGTCATGAATTTTGTCAAATTGAACTCATTAACATTGGAAACTAATGAAATCTCATGCAGTATATTCCATTTATGGATTTAAATAAAGACAGAATAAATATTGATGCAGAATAATATGAATTCATTATATTTCGTGGTTTCTCATCAGCTGCTTACAACCAAATATGCATTAGAGTTTTAGCATTGGGGTAATAAATAGGATGGAACGACTGACATAAGTGAATGTAAAGGATTGGAATAACGAAAGTCATCGATGATAACTATATATATATATATATATATATATATATATATATATATATATAGTTATCATCGATGACAAGGAAAGGTCAGAGGTTATTAGGTATTAGAATAAAGGGTGGCGTAATAGTTGAGTGGAGTTCAGAGACAGATAAAATCAAAAATGTGATTATTTTAGAGGTAGCCCTTTGGGTTCTATTCTGGCCGACATATTTATGGGGAACCTCGAACAGAAGAAGCTTAAGCATGCTATAGATAGTACCACACTATACTGCAAATACATGGATGACACCTTTTTTGTTTGCGACAATCATAAACACTGCATCAATCTGCTCAGTTTGTTTAATAAAGCAGACAAGGATATAGAATTTACGATGGAACATGAAAACGAAGATAAATTCCATTTCCTAGATATTGGAATTAGACGAACACTAGCGGGTACATTACAAAGATATGTTCATGACAAAAACACTTGGAGTGGACTATATCTCAATTACTACAGTTTCTGTCCGATGAGTTACAAAAAGGGTATTGTACGAACCCTTTTCGACCGCGCACGCAAAATCTGCTCCAATGAGTGTCTTGAGGAAGAAATAGCTTTAATCACCAAATGCATACGTGAAAATGCATATCCAGAGAAATTCATCCACAAATATGCAAACACCAACCGTCGAATAAAATATGATCGAGTTCAAAAGAAAACATGCTTCCTATACCTACGTTTCAAAGGAGACGAAATCGCTGGAATAATTAACCACCGACTTAATTCTGCGTTGAAAGCGACCTACCCTGCAGCTAAACTGACAACAGTGTGGGAAACAAACTGCCCACTCAAACAAACTAAAATCGACAAGTCCTCTTTTCTCAGTAGCTCCAACTGCATTTACCAATTTACATGTACGTGCCGAAGCACATACATTGGAAGAATCGAGAGAAGAGTGCATGTCCGCATTTCTGAGCATGTTCCCAAGAAATTGAGGCTGCAAGGCTCCAGAGCTCTCAACAGTGCGATAGCGTGGCATTTACTCGACACCGGGCACAGCATTGACATTTCTCATGCCTTTAAAATCAGTAGTAAACAAAGAAGTACAACTGCTCTCCGGTTTGCTGAAGCGATCGCCATAAAAAAAACTCAAACCGGATCTATGTATTCAAAAAGAGACAGTGATAAACTTATTACTATCCTGGTAATCCTTTTTTGTTTTTTGTTTTCTTTCTTTTTTTTGTTTGTATCAGTTTTGTTGTTATTAGTTCAATTTTGGTTAATATTCAGTTTTTATTATATTCCCCTCCTCTTACCCGATTCTTAACACCACCCTTTCTCTCACACATTTCCGCTCATTTGTCTCTCCTAATTATATGAACTATCCAAATTTTATTCAATTATTACGTAACCCAACCTAATTGTTTTCAACTACCTCTAAAATAATCACATTTTTGATTTTATCTGTCTCTGAACTCCACTCAACTATTACGTCGCCCTTTATTCTAATGCATATTTGGTTGTAAGCAGCTGATGAGAAACCACGACATATAATGAATTCATATTATTCTGCATCAATATTTGTTCTGTCTTTATTTAAACTAATGAAATCATTTTGGTGACAGTATACATTGATAAAGTACCCACTTCACTTGACGTTAAGGATCAATAAACGATGCATAGTCTACAACACACGTCAATTACATAAATGATTGATTTATAAGTGATGATTGATATCATATTTGTTTAATCTTTTACTTACTTACGCCTGTTTCCCCTCGTGGAGTGGTATTGGCCGTCCGCAAGCATTCTCTATCCAACTCTGTCCTGAACAATACTTTCCCGTTATTTCTAGTTACTATTCATCCTATAATTATCTGTTTCCGATTCTCAGTTCAGTGTGTTCTTTGGTCTTCCTCTTTTCCGTTTCCCTTCAGGATTCCAAGTTAGTGCTTGCATCGTAATGCAGTCTGATGATTACAATTAATGAATGTCCAATCCATTTTCTTCGTCTTTTCCTAATTTCCTCTTTAGCTAAAATCTGATTAGTCCTTTCTCACAGTGAGCTGTTACGAAGATCAGTTATAGGTACTTAGTGATTATCAGTTAACTGAAAACACATAATCAAATAAATTAAGGACATTTTATTTTTCGAAATAAGATCATTACATAGATCATGATCAATTTGTGATCTAGTTTTGTTCTCTGAGCTGGATGGTTTGGTCGTAGAGATTTCATCGTCTTACTGAATAACATCATCAGCACAAACTTCAGGTAGAAGTGAAATGTTTGAATTTCTCCACATGTGATTCACAGCTTGTGTTGTGCAATCCAATGCAGAAACATAGGAACAAAAATCAAACCAATAGAAGATAAAACCAAAACAAAGAAATAAACAATGACAGATTTAAAGTCAACAAGAACCAATCAACATCAAGGTGTACAGGACAAGCTGTGAATCACATGTGGAGAAATTCAAACATTTCACTTCTACCCGAAGTTTGTGCTGATGATGTCGTTCAGAAAGACGATGAAAGCTCCACGACTAAACCATCGAGCTCAGAGAACAAAACTCCATCAAAATCACCAACCCACCTGAGCTACAAATCTTCTCCACCATCTCGAAATTCTTCATATTTTAATTCATATCATCTTCATTATGATTGGTAGAATGAATTAAATCATTTTTCTATTGTAGTGAATGAGAACACAATTAGGGACAATCAAATGTATTTGAGCTCAAAATTACAAAATATCTTGATAAAATATGGGAATCATGCAGTAATACTGTAGTGAACAGAACACTGGTTAGGGACAATCGAATGTATTTAAGTGAAGATTACAGACTATCTTGATAAATTCTGGTTACCAAACAATGAACAGTCAATTTGCAAATTAACAACCAATTGTTTCAATCTTCACTGTTTCTTCTTTTATTCCATTGCTCATGCATTTTTCAGAAGTTTGCGTTTCATTTCAGTTCTTTCCTCATCGGTCTTCTGCCAAAATAAATTCTATGTCTGACCCACACCATATACTACTTATATGGATATAAGTAGACCACACCACAATACTTCATTTGTAAACTATCCATCAATTGTCTCAAACTGAATTGTGCCTTCGTTCCCACACAGATTGCTCTCTGTACTTGTTTTCTTCTTTTAGATCTTGTTGACCTTCTGCCGCCAGACATTTCACTTTTGATTGATTATACATCACTCACTTCCTTCCTTACGCCTGTTACTCCCAATGGAGCATAGACCGCCGACCAGCATTGTCCAACCCACTCTGTCCTGGGACTTCTTTTCTAGTTCTATCCAGTTTTTGTTCATTCTTCTCATGTCTGTCTCTATTTCTCCACCTGTAGCTCCTTCGGGGGCTACTGCTGGTCTCAAACCCTGGTAAAGGAGGAGGGTTGGTCATGGGGTTAGCGACCCCATCCCGTAGAAAACCAACTCCCTAAAAGAACGCTAAACAGAAAAAAATTATTGGTGATACATACTACTACCTATATCTATCGACATTAGTAGCATACAACACACTATAAGCCTAATCCAGAAAGTCTGAACTGTTATTTTAAACCTTCTTGAAGTGTAAATAAATTCAATGCTTGACATGGGTATGCTAACTGTTTCAACCATATTTCAATAAATCTATTTTCAAGTTTGAAAGTTTTTATTCAACTACATATCAATAAACCAAATATTCAAGAAATGAATTCCATATGAAATATTCTATGTTGGACTAACTTTGAATACTTAAATTATATATAGTTAAGATCATTAGTCAATTGAAGCTAGACCACCATGTAAAATCTGGAATCACTGGACGGCCGTTTCGTCCTACTGTGCTACTCCTCAGCAGTGCGCATCCACGATTCCGTCTAGCGAGAACATAGGACCTATCAGTCTCGCGCCAGAGCACTTAACCGATAGACCATTAAGCCGTCATCTTAAACTTAAATTATAGTTAGAAATAAGTATAGGATTAAAAATGTTGCGTTTAGATCTATCAATATGTAGGGATGTATTGTAACTTGTGGTCGAGTGGATGCCCTATTATTGTATAAAGTACCGCCAATTAAAGAGCAGCGAATTATCGATCGGACCAATGATACACGGAAACCGTATGAGCAGTCTAGAGTATTGATCGGTCCTGCTATCTGCATAGACCAGCCGGTTAAGTCCAGAACATCAACGACAGCCTCTGCAATATGAATCATTATATTTCAAACATACTGAGTTTATATACCAAACAAACTTACCACATCGTATCAATAAAATAGAAAATAACATTTGTACAAGAGTTAGCCAACTGTAGCTGTGAATGTGAGAGATTGTAATTAATAAACTAGGGATAATTCACAAAAATGGTAAATCGTATAATAATAGTCTTTAGATCAAAATAAAGCTTATAATAAGAGAGACATGGATATGAGTAGTTTACTTGTTTAGCGATTATACAATAAAAAATATAAGCACAGTATTGGTTCATAAATAGATCTCAAAGTTACCATTTATTTATGGTATTTTTTAAACTTGATATAATACTACTACTTAATCGTTGAATAAGTAGTTTGAATAATATCACTGAAAATTGGTGTGGTTGTATGAAAAGATAAGTGACATGTAAATACATTAAATTAGTTTTGAATATTTCAATAGTTCAGATTATGAATCAATTGAAGGTAGACCACCATGGAAAACATGTTTCGTCCTATTGTAGGACTCCTCAGTGGCAGTGCGCGTCCACGATCCTGTCTCACGAGATTCCAAACCAGGACCTATCAGTCTCGCGCGCGAGCACTTAACCACCAGACCACTGAACTTGCTGGCCTACACCCAACAGTGTTAATTTGTAACTTCAACCAATCAATATGATCGTTTCGAGGGTTTGAATGAGCTAATCAAACTGGTTCTTCAAATAAATTAGATCTTTTTGAACTTTGAACATTGAATGGTATCTAATCATTGAATCAAGAAATTTTGATCTGAAGAGATAAAATTACATAATTTATCAAAAGATACTATTAGCCATGGAACCAATCTATTGAAAATCACTTGAATTTAAAATCTTACTACCCTTATGCTCCGTCATAAGTCCAATTCACTCGATCACTATGGTGTGTTACTGACTGACTGATTAAATACATATTCGCCAGGTGATCTGTAAGCTGTCTTCTCAATACTGGGGATGTAGTGAATGGGAGTAATCAAATGTATTTGAACACAAAATTACAGAACCTGTTAGTGAAATCTGAATTTCACAGTTACTTCACAGTTATATAATATGCCCTTGTGAGCTCGAATAATTTTACATTGATTTTCAGGAGAACCGGACCTCATCCAGAATTTCACGTGACAAACTAAACAGTACGGCTCAATCCCGTTTCGCAGGATAGCCAGACACTACCCAGGCTTAAAATTTATAATCTGAATGGTACGGCTAAACCTAGCTACAGTAAATACTTCATTTGCAAAATGTCAATCAATTGTCTCAGACTTCATTGTTCGTTTATTTGCAAAGTAATAATTCTCTGATCTCGTTCTCTTTTTTCGATCTTCTTAACTTTCATTTATTTTATTTATTTAAACACATAAATATTAGTACAAAGGGGCACCAGATATATATGCGCCACTTAAATCTTTTTTTATTTGTATGAAGGCTGTGATACTACCCGGGTGCTCAAACCGAAGCAGGTGGTTTTCTTAGGGGACCACACCCGGAGCCTTTGACCTAAAGATCTGATCCACAAGGCAGTGGAACATCGTGAAGAGGTGCATTCCCATGGTAGCCGGTCACCAACGATTGACTCGTACGCCATTTGTTCCTTCAGGATACTGGAGCCCATGTGCACCATTGGTTTGGAATTAGGGTTTTCCAACTCCCCTAGGTTAACTCAACGTGTCCACCGGTTCGTTTAAAGCTCCGGACATTCTCTTTTCATTCTCTCAATTTCGTAAACAACACTCCCACTACCAGAAGGCAGTGAGTAGGACAGATTATTAAGGATTCCATCCATATATATACCTCAGTAGCTTTCTTCCTTTTCTTTTCCTAATACTTCAATAGTTCATATGTTAAATTTTGTTTTGTTCTTTACTGATAGTAATATGTATAGTAATAGTAATTAAAGTCTTTTGTTTCCTTCTTCTTCTTCTCCTCCTTCTTCTCCTGCTTTTTCTTCAGTTTAATAGCTTCAATGAAATGTAACCCTAGTAACATATAGTCTAACATAGTCAAATATAAGAACATAGAATCATACACGTTTACACACACACGCACGCACACACATAAATACATGTGTACAAAAGAATATGATTCCATTCAACACAACTGGAACTATTATATACAAAATACACAATGGTAACATATCATCACCATGAGGAATAAAAGGAGAAACCAAAGTAGATAAAGAAAGGAACCATTGTTTGCACAACAAACGAACATACACATACACACACACATACAAAGTGTAATACACTTAGAAACTATAAAAGGTAACTAAAAGAACAAGGATTATTACTATTATGATGATGATGATTTAAAAACTTTCAATGTGTTAATCAACATACAAGAAGTGATGTGGAAGTAAAAAATGAAAATTTCAAGAAGAAGCAAGAGAAGAAACAACAACAACAACAACAGCGGACGTTGTTGAAACCTCCCCCTTCTGATAACAAACTTCCATAGTTAATAAATTTAATTATATTTTCATATACTACTGTTGAAATTATTATAATTACCATGTTATTATTGACATAAACATAGTTTACTACTACTACTATTACTACTACTACTACTACTACTACTTCTACTACTACTACTACTACCATTACTACTACTACTACTACCATTACTACTACTACTACTACTACTACTACTACTACTACTACTACTACTACTACTACTACTAATACTACTACTACTACTACTACTACTACTACTACTACTATCGTATATACCAAGAACATGTTAAGTGTGTATTTCTGGATATGCTACTTACCCAGTGTTCCATAACAGTTCGTCTTCTATTGAACTTGAGTTTTCTAACGATAATTTTGTCTATTTCTACGGTTCTCTCAACTCATCCACACGACTCGTGCAAGCCTCTCATTTTTATTGCACACACATCTCTACAATACTCATACCATTGAACTGCCGAAGCTTCGGTAACATTAGAAAAGTCTGCAGCCAGTGTTACTGGTGCTTTATTTCTCCGGTTTGCAAGAATTATCATAACCGGTCTTAGTCTCAATCGTGATCTGGCAAAAGCAGTTTCTGTTCTAGCAGAATTTTTCCTCCAACATTGGAATACAACAGTGTGGTAATCTGAACAAGGTCCAGGAGTCATTTTCGAGTTTAGCACTGGATAGATTTCTTACGCTCATATTAGTCATTAACAAGTTAAGAGGATTGTTAAATTCTCACCGAAATTTAGATACTCAGTGTAAATCTAACCTGTTAATCTGTTTGTACCTGTTGAATAATCTGTATAATACCACTTTTATCATAAGCCATTCTGTAAACGTTAGTGAACAAGTCTGAATCCACTTAAATAGGCAATGAGATTAATGAGTTCTCAATATTAACACTGTATTTCATTACTTCATGTTCAGTTAATGTTTGTAATGCTGAAATGTTTAAGCTTTTATTATCCTCTATAAGAAACAAAGGTAATTTACGTGGTGCATTGGATTTTCGAATACGGCTCAAACACTTTTTCGCAATCCTTTTCAGAAGACTAAATTTAAAGGAACTTCTTCGTAATCCCATTCATTGTAGTCGCTCAATTATAAGGTCAGCTGTAAATCAATCGTACATAAGCATTGGATACGGAAATAGGCGCCATGACTTTGTGATCACTCAAACGTTTCTGACTGGCTCGTCCATAAATTATAGTCTTGCAACGGAGATATTTACCAGTTTATGTATTCTTGAATAAAATACTTTTTAATAAATTTATAAGAGGACATAGTCCCCTTAATGTCTGTTTTCGTTGCAAGAGTTGGTTGATTTGCCCAGTGAATTAGTTCTTAAAATGATTGTCAAGTGAAACTGAGAAACATCCGTTACAACAAACAGATTGTCAAATGATCTACAATACATAACATTTTCCCTCATTCAATTTAAAATTAGCAGACTATATGAGGACCAGTGTCGGTATTCAATATACACATTTGTTTAAAGTTACTGATTTACTAAAACCCGATCCAGTCGATTATTGGTCTCTAATACTTTAAGAGGTCATTTAAATCACAAACATTATAAGCAGGGATGAATGGCAGCTAGCAGTGGGATTCAGAACATGCGTTTCGTCTTAATTGGGACCCATCATTTGAATGACTCTCTGCACTCCAGAGTTGATGTTCACTCCAGGACTCGAACTCGGTGCCATTCGCTCAAGACTCCACCGCATCATACACTTAGTTACTCAGTAGCGAACAATTTATTTTGCAAACTAGATTTATTTGGATGCATGCATTTTATTTGAAATAATGACAGTTATTTGTAACAAAAAATTATTGCTATTGTGTACTCTTAATAGATGCAGTTAGAATTTCGAGATCTTATTCATTGATCGTAGGTGTAACATTGGTGCAGTGCTTGTTGTTGCCGATCATGATGATGTTATCGATTTGTGTTAGTTGAATATTTGTTCTTTTGTATCCTATCATAATTGACACGACACTCAGTTGTTAGACTGATGGAATAAATTTCACGATGACGCCGTTAATGTTTCAGAACTACTTATCAGATGGTTTTGCTTAATTGACATCAAGTAGCTGTACTTTCGATGATGACACTTCCAGGTCAACAAGGTCACTACTAATTTAGTTTAGTTTTCAGATTCACCATCCATTTCAGTTTGATGAACCAGATAGTATTTCTATCTTACGCATGCTCAGCACAAATTTGTAGATGATTAGTTTCTCGGGTTACATAACATATAAACGCTTGTTCTTCGAGCATTTAAAAAGAAGTGTCAAAATACTGGTAAAGCTGAATGTTCTTAGTCAGTCATGGAAGCTGATGGATTTGAAGTCAGTTATGCTATAGGTGGTGTAGTTCCTCCCGGGGGTACTACCGGTCCCAAGTCCGGGTAAATGAGGAGGGTTGGGCATGGGGTTAGCGACCTCATACCGTAGAAAACCAACTCGCTACAAGGGTTTGTCAACAACTGTCTAAGCAAGATACTTCGAATCGGCCGGCCAGACACTATCAGCAACAAGTTACTGTGGGAGGCAACAAACCAGATTCCAGCGGAAGAAGAAATTAGGAAGAGGCGCTGGAAGTGGAAATGGCATACTTTGAGGAAATCACTCTATAAAATCGAAACCTAAATTCCAATAGATATGGCTGTGTCTGAATAACTGTAGAGTAAAAGTAGACACGCGCACCCTTCAATCGAAATCAGAACAAGATGATTGGGGTAATAACGGTTCTAAATTCATCACATATACAAATGTACAAATTTAACTGAACAAATATAACCACACAGTTATCCAACCAACAATTGTCCCACAATAATTATTCTAAATTACAATGAATAGCAAATTGATAAGAAATGTAAGAAATTTACCGAACACACCAAAAAGTAAGTGTTATACTATCCTTTCTGGATAGATCAAGTAAAAATTCCGTTTGAGAGGCTGCTCTATAACATAAAGTGTTTCAAATTATGGGAAAGTGTTCCAATTGACAACCAAAATGCTCGATCCCAGTTAAATCAAACAGCACTATCAAAGAGCGGACACTCAATATGGCAGCCGCCAGAAAAATAACAATTAAGACAAGCGCCTGCAGGTTGGGGTTGCGTTGATGGTGCGTAACCTAGTATTCCATCTTCCCCATTACGAAAGTGATGATAAGAGTTACATCTTGCAGGTTTAGTATTTATAACATTTGAAGGGAACCATGGGGCACGTTGGTTCATTGCCGTCTGTTTAATAGTAGGACTGCTTACATGATGGTTGTAGTAGCCGTCTCATGTGACGTTTAAACGTAATGTGTCCTTATAACCTCCCTTACGATGAGTAGGATTAAGCATGTTTTCAGAAATTATACTTTTGTTCGGTAAGACCATTGAAATATTTTTGGTATTCGGTCTAGAATCAGAAGGTTTTGTATTTACTTTCTTCTTGATTGGTATAGACCTTTTAGACTTAGCAGTGTTTTTAGGAGCCTTCGCAATAAAATTAGGTGTTTGATTGCTAGGTTCAGATATTACACTGGAAAGAATGGCATTTGTTTCACCATCAGATATGTCCTGATTATCTAGGGCCACTAGAGGTATGAGAGGCAAACTAGCACACTGCATTGATATATCAGGTACGCTTTTGCGTTAGTCTTTGCTTGGTGGTTTTGTCTGAGACTATACGAGCGTTTTTAGACTTCGTAAGCGCACGGACTAGCTGTTCAAATTCTTTCAACTGTTCCGCTAATAAATGGGAATCGAATCTAAACAGGATAGTGCATGAGTATTTTTGGTGCTTTTTATTAAGTCGGATACATTGGTATGGGCTGTCTTGGAGATTAGCTACCTTTAGTATCGAATTCCTTACAGTTTTAATGGCAACTTATTCGCTTAGTGACTTCACTAGCTATCAAGTCAACAACGCATTCTACCTTGATCCTGTCTTCGAGTTCTGAAGGAACGACATCCTTTGATAACAGCAGTTTATGGGGTGACAATGTCTTTAGTTCTAGCTTAAGATCATTATGCTTCAATAAAGAGCTCGCAAGTGATTCCACTTTAGAACGCATGTCACATAATTGATTATAGGAAGTGGCTAATTCACTCTTAATATGGTCGATACCTTCAGTTCGTGAGTTTGAACTCTTTATTATGTTTGACACTGAGTTATATAACAACCGGTGTGGAATACGTCCACTCCCACTAATATGTGGTGCAACAGGAGTTGCAGAGCATGAGATAAAGGTAAGAGCAGAATTGTTAATATCTGAAGAAATAGGGCTTTTCCGGGCTCGTTTTTGTGTCAGTCCAACCATTTTTCTTCAAAGGTTTATTCAAAAGTTATTATTCAGTTATTAACTAGGGTTTAACGATGATATATAAGCACTTTATAAAAAATACTGTATCAAACAAATGGCTATCAAGACTTAGTAGCTGAGTGGATAACGCAATGGCGTTTGAAGCGAAAGGTACTGGGTTCGAGTCCCAGAGTGAACATCAACAAGTCTGAGATGCAGGCACATCCAGTTGACGAGTCCTAAATAGGACAAAACACGCATCCTGGATTCCACTCCTAATTACTATCCATATTTGCTTACCATGCTCGTGAATTAAGGCAATATCGAGGCAATACGCCCAGTATGCACGTATGTCAATAAGAGACTGACCAGTTGCAGTCCTAAAACATCAATGGGAAGATTCAAATAAGCAATACTAATTGAATTCAAAATATAAATTTATTGCCAAAAGCTGTTTTCCTCGCAAAGTATCATTAAATGTTTATTTTCGCATTCCCCTTGTTTTTATTTTTGTATTGTAGTACCAGTTCATATGTTAGGCCCATATACTTTATTCTAGTTACTGGCCAAGCCAATTCACCTGTACATTGAGTCATCTTTTGATCTTGTTAATCATTTGCTTATTAACCTTGAGTACTTTTTATATGAGCGCATATGTGTACACTTCGTATCTCATTCATCATATGTCTGTCACTCATTTTTGCCTGCCTATAAATGTTAGTTAACGCTTGCTTAAAATGAGTTGGCTTCCCAGCCATCTCCAATACGCATCATCTTTGCTTCGCTTGCTTACAGTTGCTCATGTGCTTACAACTTTCTGGTCTGCATCGATTATCAATAAAAATGTAGTTGCCGCTTCCCTTTGCCTTCTGATATGATACACCGTTAAGATTGGTATTAATAACGGTTATCGAAGCGAACTATGATCGAAGCACGGCACTACAGTATGCATGTATTCTTTCGTCTCATTTGCTTGATATTAGCAGTGTTACCTCCTCATACCCTGGGTGGAGCTGTGTGGTGATAGTTCAAATAAAGCTGATCTGCATTTTCTTCATTAATTCTCATAATTTGTACAATTCTCATTATTGACTCGTAACATTGTGTACAAAAATGACTTTTGATCTCTCCTTCCATTTTCGAACACTCCATAACATGACACATTGATTATTATTCACCTATACACGGCTGCACACATAGGCTTCTTGTTCCCAATTATCCACTGCTATCAAAACAGAAGTTTATTATATTTGCTGTTTTTGTTTACTGGTTCTAGTGATAAACTTATTACATGACTTATTTAGTTATACATTTCAGATTATAGTTGGAATTACTAACTACGTATAATTGTGGATTGCAAGACCAAGAGAAACTTGAACATGTTTATTCCTGACAATCTAGGTAACTATCAGAAGGGGTTTTGTGGAGATTTAGTATTTTTCATAGTTGAAAGCGTGAGTCCATTGAAGCTAGACCACCATGGAAAACCTGGAAACACTGTTTGGCGGCCGTTTCGTCCTATTGTGGGACTCCGGTTCAGGGCTCCGGCTCGAGACTGGTAGGTCCTGGGTTGGAATCTCGCGAGAGCGTGTTCGTGGATGTGCACTTCTGAGGAGTCCCACGATAGGACGAAACGGTCGTCAAACAGTGTTTTCATGGTGGTCTAGCTTCAGTTAACTCACGCTTTCAACTATGAAAAATCTAAATAACGTCCGTTATATTTTTCTTTGTGTGTATAATTTGCACTTGATGTATTAACACATTAACTTTCTTTTATAATAACTTTGTCATTATCTTTTGGAATTGATATTTTTCTTTTTGATTCACCACAGTAGCGGTAAAATGAATTTATCCGGCTTCAACACAAAGTCTAAAATGTGACAATGTTACGAGAATTTGCGACTTTAGGCTTAAGTATTCTCCTAGAGTGAGCATCAACAAGTCTGAGATGCAGGTACATCCAGTTGACGAATCCCAAATAGGACGAAACGCGTCTGTTGGATTCCACTACTAGCCACTATCCATCTTTGCTTAATTCATTCCATATTCAGTACTAGGTGATTCATCATTGGGGAAGGAGTGTTTTCGGAGCACTCTCTGCAGATAGTATGAAAACATTTCCCTGCACTTTGTTTACTTACAATTGTAGTAGTAGTATAGTGTGTGCTACTTATGTCGACAGATATAAGTAGTATGTTTTATCAATTAAAAGTGAGGCAATTGATTGGCATTTTACAAATGAAGTATTTACTATTTGATTCTCAAATCTTATTATGACAATCTGTAATTTTGTATTCAAATACATTTGGTTGTCCTCACTTGTGTTTTCGTTCACTACAGTATCAGTACATATAAATATTCAGTAGTTATTTACGAGTACTTGGTGAGTAAACAACACATGTAATGTACATTGAAGTTAGATGGTGGTTGGAGGTGGTCAACAGGAAACTCTGGACCCGGGTTTCGTGCTACTTGGCACTCGTCAGCAAGGTGTACCTGTAATCTTGAGGGAACTGATGCTCCCTGACGGATTCGATCCCGTGTCACTCAGAGACGTTACCACTGAGCTATTCGGGCCGCGACCGACCTCCTGTAGGATTGAGATGTAATCACAATTGATTGGTCACTGGGTGGTGGTCAATGTCATGCGTGTCAAGTCCTTCTTAGTGCTCATCGAATGCTATGATCAAGTTGTAATGTGGCCACCAGTCTAGGTGGCTCGACACTGCGTGCACATGTAATCACATGTAATGTACAATTAAATATATCATACAACACAATCTCATACTATGTACTTTGCGTTTAAGCTCTTGATTGTATCTTGGTAGAGTTCTAGACTTTTTGAGATTAGTTCTATTTCGTTTTATTATTTCAAATTCATGGAATAGTTTCTAGTTTCATAAATAACGCTTTCGATTCCATTACATAGTTACTATTATTTTAGTCAACCGACTAGTTGCTTGTTGTTATTGATGAAACAACGAAAAGTGCGTTGGTGCACTCAGAAATTGGTTAGAAAACGAACATATGTGTACGTACCAAAAGGATGCTACACGAATTGAACTAACGAATCTTGCTGGTGACGAAGCAGACTACTTTGTAATGCTGTATTGCTGTGATGAATTATGATCATATATATGATCAGCTGTCGATTGAAAGCCAACATTGGAAATATCCTTGACTATTACGCAAGCAATATTGATCATGATGATACTTCTATCGTATCATTCAAATAGGTCCAATAGGTAAATTGACGGTTATATGCAATAAAATCAGTTATGAGTAAACGTAAATGAAAAAGAATATGCTCACATTGATGACGAGTTGAGGCTATCGAAATAGAGTCTATTCGCAGTTCTGACCACTATTTGAACGTGAATATTTTCACAGACAGTTCACTTAGTGTAAATTTATACCACCATTTAACTCATCCAATTCTTAATCAGCCATTTTTACAGAATAAATCTAACGAGTAAGTTGTATGTGTACTCACTTTTATGCTTGCAATGTCTTGGTTCTTTTGCAAATAAATACTGAAATAATGTCGGATGTTAAGTTATTGTTAGAGGCCTACGTAAAATTGTCGTCTGTATGGATAAAAAGGCGGAAAATTTGTAGTTTGGATTCCTAATCGTTGGAATTTCTAATTGCTACATCCGTCAAGCTAGATATGATGAAAGCCAATATTGACAGATGAGAAGCTGCATGACTATTTTATCAGTTTCAATTGTCTTTTGTTACACTTAAAGAGACAAATTATCATCAGCAATATTCAGAGGTGACATTGTTTTTATGTAAGTGGTCTTCAACCTTGAGATAAACGTTTCAGTCAGTCAGTCAGTCACAACGTAGAACTTCGTACGTATGTACGTACATCAGTTCGAGTTGCAATACCAAATTAGCACAGAGATGAAGTTCTCGATTCAAATCTTATAGTGGTAGAACTAGTAAGAGTATAAGCATTATGTGAAAGCTTAGGGTTTGGTGATGTTATTCAAGGAGTATAATTCAATGAAATAAATTTGGAAAGAGAAAAAAGATAGAGACATGAAGAATTTAAAGGGTTAGAATTTGGTAGAACACAAAGAGTGGATGCATTGCAAACGATTTTGAGATAAACGTTTACAGGAAATCAGTGCCAGATCCATGGTTCACAGAAATACTATTGATGACCGAAGTATGAATAAACGTTATTCTAGTTAAATACGGTTAAAATAACTGAGTTAACTCTGTTACTGAATCAAAAGTTCAGAACTAAGGGTACTAACTAGTGGTTATATGAAGTAATAAATAGTTAGTACATAATTATATATTATTGTAAGTTCAATGCTTCCAGGTCTTCCATGATGGTCTAGCTTCAATTGACCCATGATCTCAAATATTAAAATATTCAAAATTAATTTAATGTATTTACATAGCATTAGTTATTCCGTACAGCCACATCAATTTATAGTGATATGAATTCAAACTACTTATTTAACAATTAAGTAGTAATATCATATTAACATAAAAAATACCATAAAAAACCCTGTTTCAATATTAATCAACGCATTTACATATTCTTCTTTTTCAATTATAGATAATGCCCTTTCATCTATACCTCAATTAAGTCCATCATTAAGTTCAATAAATGGATATGATGGTGAATCAATATCATCTAATAAAAATGATAATAAAACTCAAACTATATCAGTGATGTATTCAGAACAATCTACAATAAATAAAAATGAACCAATTGAAGAAGAAGTACAACAACAACGAGAAAAGACTCAAATGAAAATGACTCAATGCAACCTAAAACCGTATCCAATGGTGAAACGGATCATGTTACTATGGCAGCAAACGAGGAAAGAGAAGAAAAACAAAAAGAAGAATAAAATTCAATCAAAACTTGTGCAATTGAATCTGACAATGATAAAGACAACAACAATAAGTGCCTTAATAATTCATCTATATATCATAATGGATCAAGTTCATTATGTAATCAATCCATTCATGAAACAGTCATTGAATAATGTTTTCTGTTCTTAAAATACAAGGTGATATACTACTTACTATTTAAAATGAAAATTCCATTATATATATATTTTCTTTGATAAAAAAAACTTTCCAGGAGACTATTATTTATGGATGAACCAATCAGATTCATGGAAGCGGATCTTAAATTTTGGCGCGAAATTCATTCATTCACCCGTTCGACTAAATACAATTTTGGCATTATAGCTGATGTTAGTTCATGATGAAAACCATAAATTTAATTCCTAGCTCTAACTATCAACTGTCAATCTTAATCCTAATCCCGATTCCTCGAACTGGTTTATAACCCTCATTTAGTCTTAGTTACCAGGTGAACACTCTCAAGGTCAATCTAGCGTCGTTCAAAGATTGTCCATAAATCATTGTCTTATCTAACTTCCTTCAAAATGGTTATGTAATACTTTGATCAGAATATATCATTATTTTTATTACATTCTGTAATGTCTACTTTAAAAAAGAAAGTGTTTTTTTGTTTTCCTGTAAACTGAACGATCAAACCATGAACTGATGTATTCAGTCAATCAGGTTATGCTATATTGTATATAGTACTGTATAGTTAAAGGTATATATCTACCTATACATATAATGAATAGGAAAATACTATTGTAAATTGTACTACTACTACTACTACTACTACTACTACGACTAATACTACGACTACTACTATTACTACTACTACTACTACGACTAATACTGCTACTACTACTACTACTACCACTACTACTACGACTAATACTGCTACTACTACTACTACTACTACTACCACTACTACTACTACTACTACTACTACTACTACTACTACTACTACCACTACTACTACGACTAATACTGCTACTACTACTACTACTACTACTACTACGACTAATACTACTACTACTACTACTACTACTACTACTACCACTACTACGACCAATACTACTACTACTACTACTACCACTACTACGACTAATACTGCTACTACTACTACTACTACTACTACTACTACTACGACTAATACTACTACTACTACTACCACTACTACCACTACTACGACTAATACTACTACTACTACTACCACTACTACTACGACTAATACTGCTACTACTACTACTACTACTACTACTACTACTACTACGACTAATACTACTACTACTACTACCACTACTACCACTACTACGACTAATACTACTACTACTACTACTACTACTACTACTACTACTACTACTACTACTACTACCACTACTACTACGACTAATACTGCTACTACTACTACTACTACTACTACTACTACGACTAATACTACTACTACTACTACCACTACTACCACTACTACGACTAATACTACTACTACTGTTGTGAACAGATCACTAGTTGGGGACAATCGAATGTATTTAAGCAAAGATTACAGACTATCTCAGTAAATTCTGATAACCAAACAATGAACAGTCAATTTGCAAATTAATAACCAATTGTTTCAATCTTCACTGTTTCTTCTCTAATTCCATTGCTCATGCATTTTCCAAACGATTGCGCTTCATTTCAGTTCTTTACTCATCGGTCTTCTGCCAAAATACATTCTATGTCTGACCCACGCCATATACTACTTATATGGATATAAGTAGACAACACCACACTCGTCCCCCCTTTAAAGCATTCGTTCATGCGGTGGTTCTGCTCGCCACGCCGCTATCTTCTTCCACTGCAGTCTGTGCCAAACTCTCCGTCAGAATGTCGAGTCTGCGGCGCGCTGAACTCCATAGCTCCGTCGACCTGCCGGGGCACCAACATCCGCATCCACCCGGCACCTGGGACTTTCAACACCCGTACTCCACCGGCCTGCTGAGCCATCTACATCCGATGTCCGCCCAGCAGCCGCACGTCCCACTGCTCCTCCCCGTCGACAGCACCCGCTACAGCCAACGCCGCCCCGCCAGAACACTCCACTCGACGCCACCTCTCCTCACCAGACTGCCCCAACTAGCACCTCCACTCCAGACCCGCGGCGGCGTCCGCAGAACAGCACCCTTCCTCCTCCTGGTTGGCAGCGACACCAAATGTTGTGAACAGATCACTAGTTGGGGACAATCGAATGTATTTAAGCAAAGATTACAGACTATCTCAGTAAATTCTGATAACCAAACAATGAACAGTCAATTTGCAAATTAATAACCAATTGTTTCAATCTTCACTGTTTCTTCTCTAATTCCATTGCTCATGCATTTTCCAAACGATTGCGCTTCATTTCAGTTCTTTACTCATCGGTCTTCTGCCAAAATACATTCTATGTCTGACCCACGCCATATACTACTTATATGGATATAAGTAGACAACACCACACTACTACTACCACTACTACGACTAATACTGCTACTACTACTACTACTACTACTACTACTACTACTACGACTAATACTACTACTACTACTACCACTACTACCACTACTACGACTAATACTACTACTACTACTACCACTACTACTACGACTAATACTGCTACTACTACTACTACTACTACTACTACGACTAATACTACTACTACTACTACCACTACTACCACTACTACGACTAATACTACTACTACTACTACTACTACTACTACTACTACTACTAATATTACTACTACTGATTAACTATTGATTTATGAACTTTTTAAGTACTTATTTACTGAATTGATAGTAATATGTATAATATAAACAAAATTGTTTTTTGTTTAATCATTCAATTGGCTAGACATTCTATCTTATTATTATGATGATGATGGATTACTTTTCTTGCATTCTGCATATTGCATTTATGTTTATGTTTCTATATCTATATGCTTTGACTCTTCTTTTTTGCCCCAATGAAACGTATATAGATGTCAAAGTTGAAATCATGAGTCAATTGAAGCTAGACCACCATCGAAAACCTCGAAGCACTGGACGGCCGTTTCGTCCTATTATGGTGGTCTAGCTTCAATTGACTAATGATTTCAACTTTGAAATATACTGAAATCTCTACAAATCCCCTTCTGAGTATATAGATGTATATATACATATATATATCCATTCGAAATATGGTATTTGTTTATAAGATTGTTTCTATATTGATAAGGATTGTTTCAATGACACTTATGATTATGATTACTATGTTTAAAGAATTGAATTGTCATAGAGTTAGTAACTTAGTCAAGACTATTATGAATAGTTATCGATGGGTCCTGGGTTCCAATCTTGCGGAGCAGAATCGTGGGTGCGCACTGGCATTGAGGAGTCCCATAATAGGACGAAATGGACGTCCAGTGTTTCCAGGTTTTTCAAAGTGGTCTAGCTTCAATTGACTCATGATTTCAATTATATAAAACTATTAAAATCTGCACAAAACCCCCTACTGATAATGACCAACTGCTCACTAGTGACTGGCTCCATGATGTATTTCCTGGAGTTCTAGTGAGAAGCGGTAACCACTGGGGTTCAACCAAGCCTGTTGGGAGATATCAACTGACTGAAGCCATTGGTGAATAGTTGATCAATTTCGTTAATTGGTTGAAGTTAGACATTAACACCGTTGGATGCCAGCCGGCTCAGTGGTCATGTGGTTAAGCGCTCGCGCGCGTGACTGTTAGGTCCTGGGTTCGAATCTCGCGAGGTGGGATCGTGGATGCACATGGCTGAGGAGTCCCACCATAGGACGAAACGACCATCCAGTGCTTCCAGGTTTTTCATGGTGGTTTAGCTTCAATTGACTCATGACTTCAACTATGTAATATTATGAATATGTTATATAGACACTAATTGATTGTGTATAGGTATAAATAAATGACAATTTAAATCAAAAGTCCTATATACTCCTAATTAAGGCATATATAGCATAGTATTTATCAGATTTTGAGAATATTACAAGTTGAAACCATATTAGAAGTGTGGTGTTTACTATTTATATCGATATGAGTAGTATATAACGATAGTCAGAATTAGAATATATGGATCCAAAAGGTCGAGAAGATTGTGAAGGAAAGAACGGGAACAGAAAGCAATTGGTATGAAAATGTACGAACAATGAAGTCTGAGATGATTGATTGACATTTTGCAAATGAAGTGTTTACTGTATTGTGATCAGGTTGTGATCTCGATGAGAACACGATTGGAATAATAGAAACAATTATTATTATTGTAACCAATTGTACCAACGATTGTTTTACTGTACTTGTTTAACTGTATCAGACTCACTTCTGGTTCCGCTATCCGAATTGTTTGGTTCGAACTTTCTTACGCTCTGTCCATTTTGCCTATACTCGTTGACACGTCTCGGTATTCTTTCGATACCACGAGATAGCCAATAAATATACTTTGTCTGGACTGAATAAGGCCTTCTGGATCGCAAGTTATCAAAGGAACCAAGTCGATTCTGGGCGCGTAATCGAATTGTAGTGGTGATCATAGTCCGTCCTCGACTCCACGCCTACTACAACTGTATAGTTCTCTGATTTAACTGAAATTTTCTGTAATTTTGTGTTCAACTACATTTGATTGTCCCTACTTGTGTTCTCGTTCACTACAGAAGAAGAGGTTGAAAATTTCTCCTTTGTCATCTATAATTCTACCTTCTCTAGAAGTATGAAGACAGTTCTAACGGTCTAAAGAAGATGGACGTTCATTGTATTTGGTGGATTTCTATTCATTTTGTTTATAGTGTGTTTGATTATTGAGTTTCTCATGAACCAACTGTTGTCTGTCTTAAGTCAGCTTGTAAAATGTTTTTAAAACCTGTACAGAAAGAAAATCAAACAACCTATATGCTTAAATCCATAACAGTAATTTTGTTAAGTGTGACATCTAATTCTTTACATACCTAGGTCAACTGATGAACAACAAATAGAAGGGAGATGAGAAGGAATTTCTCTCGAATTACTTCAAAAAGTTTCATCTTTAAAATGTCTACACTTGCAACTTGTTCCTGTGGGCTTCTTTAGTTGTACATTAAGATTAATAGTTAGCTAATCCTACTCTCTGGTTGACACTAGTAATGGTTTTCAAAGCTAAGGTGACACTTTGCTAAATAAGCTATCAGTAAGTGAAAAGTGTTGGTTTACTTAGTTGTTCTCTAATATTTGAACCTCCTGTTGATGTTTAAATTGCACGGGCTATGGATTCCTAATATCACTTACGATTATATAGAATCTGCTCTCTTTCCTAGTTTTGTAATTATGCTCTGGGAACTCATTAACAGGATAGAGTCTGAAATTTTACGACTGTTCATTGACAGCTATGTCACTATCCGTCTTCATTATTATCTACACTAAACTCTGATATGGTCAGCTGCCTATGATTTAAAAGATTTTTCATCTTCGTTTCCTCCTGTACCGTTCATAGGCTTATTGTCCCGACTGATTTGCACATATCTTATTTCAACTATCGTAATATAGCAAGCATGGATTTATTACTGTATAGTCTGATGAAATTATTGAAAACAATTTTTACCTCAAACATTCCTTGTTTTGAATACTCAATGGGAATTTTCGAATTCGTACAAATTGTCAAAGTATGTTTCCCGTGTGAACTGACCATATATCGTGAATTATTCAACAACTGTCACGTTTGATTGGTGTTCTCTGTTTTCATATCCCTCTGAACTATCAATTACGTTGTCACTCATCACCTGCAGTTTTTTTATTCATTTTACTTGCAGAAATATGCTTCAGAAACATTCTGGTCCACCTCTTGGCTTAGAACGGATTCATCGATATTTTTGTTACATTTGTGGAACTCTTCTTCAACACAAGTTGGAAGTTAATGATTTATTAGTATGCCGAAAATGTAAAACTTCTACATGTATGCATTGGTTAGTAATATGGATGCAACTTTCAATACTGAAGCCAAATCTAGTAAAATAGGCCAATTTAATAACGATGAGTATGAATCTACTTGCTTGTCGCCAAAAGATATTCCAACACCTCCACGGCCTGTCACATCCAGGCATTTGGGCTACCACTAAACTTATCGCTGAACGCTATGTTTGGCAAAAAATCAACTCAGATATTAGACGCTGGACACGAAATTGTATACAATGTCAGCGTAGCAAGATTCAGAGGCATACTATCAGTCCAATCGGAGAATTTCCTACTCCTGATAAACGTTTTCAGCATATCCATTTGGATCTAGTTGGGCCCCTGCCACCGTCAAACTCTTTCACTCACATTCTCACTATGTTGGCAGGTTCACTCGATGGGCGATTGCATGCCCTATCAAAGACACATTGACAGAGACAGTTGCGTCAGTTTTTCTCGACCGATGGATATCGAACTACGGAGTACCTGCAATTATCACTACTGATTGTGGCCCTCAATTTCAATCCATTTTTTTTCATGAATTCACAAGACTCCTTGGGGTCAACCACATCGAAACAACGGCTTATCATCCATCAGCTAATGGCATGATTGAAAGATTTCATCGCCAATTGTCAAGCTCGCTGACGACTCAAGCTGATCCTACCAAATGGAGCGACGCCTTACCACTCGTACTCCTGGGTATTCATTCCACTATTAAATAAGACATTGGATGCACTGCTGCCGAATTAATCTACGGTACAACATTAACATTACCAGGCCAATTAGTCAATTGCGAATCTACGACGATAGGGGATCCTTCCCGTTTCGCAAGCCGTTTACTGCAGACGATGCAGAATATTAAGCCAATACCCCCGCGACAACATAGCAATCGGGTGCAACTAGATAAAAACCTTGAAACCTGCAAATTCGTTTCCGTTCGAGTTGACGCTGTCAAAAAGCCACTAAAACCACCATACGAAGGTCCTTATAAAGTAATCAAACGTACTCCTAAACACTTTATTATCATTCGAAATGGGAACAAAGAAACTATTTCCATTGGTAGAATTAAACCAGCGTTTTACGAACCGACTCACCTTAAAGAAGTTAACATCGATAAACAACAACCCCTCCCATCTGTTCCTCAGAAGCCAATGGAAGAGGACAAGTTTCATCTTAAACCGTCTTTAACTCGCTCTTGTAGGTTGGTAAAAAAACCTAAGGGCTGCGTACATTTCGCTGACTAACAAAAATCGATTCAATTACACGCATTTTATACTTAAGTTACTCAATTTTCTAATAAAAGCTACTTAATAAGAAAAATTGCCATAGTAATAAACTAGTGAATGCCAACTAACTATTCATCAAAATTCATCCAATTTTTTATTTTTATTTTATGACTCCATTAACAGTTTTGTACATTTTATTATAATAAGCAAACCAAAACAATGTAATGCTCGTTTTTCAGTTTCATTATGCATAGCACACCCTATACTGTCAACGTGTCATTTATTCCTATCTCCACCATTTGTTGTTCATATTGTAATCAGTGTTACCTCCGGACACTCTGGGGGGGGGCTATGTGGAGATAGGACCATAAAATCTATTTTGCAAATAATTTTCATAGTTTTTGCATGTATTTTGTGCATTTTCATACTCTGTACTTTTTAGCATTAAACAATTGTACTTGTTGTTTAAGTGTATTACTTTGAACACTTGCAATTTGACTTCCTTCCGTTATTGAGTACAACATATCGCGGCACTGTTACTGCTCCTCAATAAATACACTCTAACTCACATCTGCATCGTTCTGCTATATCTGTAATT